TTAGCACTTAAAATAACTTGCACACCTGAGTTTCAGGTTTGTATCTATCTATCCATGGCTCATCTTGAGATTGGCTCCAGTTTTGCCTGGACTTGTTGGAAGGCAGATCTACTGAAGAAGACTTTGCTCTTTTTCTGGGCAGAACTTTGGTTTTGGTACTTTCTGGGACAGAAGACAGGTCTTTCTTCTGCTGCTGCCGGTTTCTTCTACAGTTGCCTTCTAGTGGCTTCACAGGAACAGCACTAGAAGAAATAGTTGTGTTTCCAAAGAAGTCATCAAATGAATGCGCCAACCAATCTGTTACCTGGTAAAATACAAACGTTTTGCTATTAAGGTAGCACTCTCCTCCACTTAATTGGGTACAGTCGTCTCTAGAAAATTCAACATTTTTATCATGTGCATGTAAGAATATCTCACAGCTGTAAAGAACTTCATTGACATTGAAAGGCATACTACTAGTTAGCAGCAAACACAGGCACTTATGCTTTGCGAACGCGTCCATTACATGTTTCTTCAGTATGAAAAAAAAAGCTACACCTTACACGTTGTGATAAGAGTATTCTGCAGCAAACTGGCAAATCAAAACAAGTCGAAAATTCTACAAACACACATTCAAACTGAAAAAGTAAAATTAAAAGAGAGATAAGAATGAAAAAAATAGCATAAGCTTATTTATACCATTTTTACATTAAGGTCATGTTCATATTGCTTCTACATAGTTTCAGTATGCGGCTTTTTTTTTTTTTAGCATTTACAATGCAACCATTGTTTAAAACTTAGAAATAGGTGACAGAGAAAAATTATTTAGGTGGCACAACAAAACCAAGTATTATTATTTACTTGCTGTGTGAGGAAGCTTGGACTGATCTGCAATCATATGCAGTCACACATATCAGAAGTCTGTCTGACAGTGACACGGAATGAAACTGCTAATACCTATAATACTTAATTTTTGGTTTGAAAAATACCCTGCTAGGACAGGGGTACAAACTTACACTCCAGAGCCACTTTTCAGCCTACTTATGATCCCAAAATAATATCCCAGTGATCACATGCTCTCTGCTACTAACAACTGCACGATAACCTTTTTAGCATACGAACTGTTAACAGGCTACATGTCAAAACACACTTCTGTGAAAACGGGAGTAACAGAATAGACACGTCATCTCCACAAAGGTCTGTGAATACTCTACAATTTACATGTCTTACAAATTAATGCAGCTGACCGTGACAAGAGATTATCTGAGAGTAAGAGGGATTAGCAATTGAGAAAGAGGATTCGTCTCTGCATGGTTTGCATTTAACGTTATTCTAACAAAAGCTATTTTTAGTTGAATTTGCATATTTACCAGCGGGTCTGATACCACTGTGTGAGGAGGTTCCCTTTTTACACAGTACACCAGTAAGTAAAAAAAATAAACACTTTACACATAGAAAAAGAAAAAAAGAAAACAAACCAAACCACGCAATTGAAAAGGAACTGCCAACACAGAGACCAAGAAGTAATTACCGGGTCTAAAAATACTGCTAATTGGACCCGCGGGACTATCCTCGGACCCTGCGAAAAGCTTCCTCAGGGCAGACCTTCGGCCTCGGTGCACCCCTCACCCCTATCCCCCCCCCGCAC